AAACTTAATTTTGTTTTGTAGGAAAAGTTGATGGCAAAGTCACTAAGGAAAGCAAAGTAGATCTTAAAAGGACTTATGCCTCAACAAGAATGTTGGAGTGGAAGTGCAAAGGAAATTTGTTTTTGAATGCTCCACTCATGTGCAAATTGGTATTATTTATTTTATTGCATTTATTCATTGAGTATAATTACTTCAATTTATTTATATGTGTTCACTTCTTGATATATATGCTTGTTGAATATGATATCATTTGATGTGATTATTAAAATTTATGCAAATTAATGAGCTTGGCATGTTGGATCCTAGTGCTTGATATGATTCTTAAAATTAATGAATATGCTTATTAGGAATTGTGCATATTGATATGTGTACCTTGATTATATTCATGATATTTGATGATGCAATCATTGATATATGACTAAAGTTACATTATCTAGTAGTTGATGTCCAATTTAAACTTAGTTAAATGAAGAAATATCAATTAAGGTGCATTTCCTTCAAAACAGCCCCAAACTTTCTGTTTGTTCCAATCAAGCCCAGTAAAGCCGGCTCTACCCTTTCCACAGCCGGCTCAACCAAAAACCCGAGAGTGCTCTCTCTAGACCACAGCCGGCTCTAGGTTTACAGCCGGCTCAACCCAGAAAACCCGAGAGTCTTCTCTCTCTAAACCACAGCCGGCTCTCGGTTCTGCAGCTGACTCAACCTGTAGGCAACCCAAACCCGTATCCGTTCTACAGCCGGCTCTACAATTATAGCCAACTCTCTTGCAAATTTTTAAGGCTCAGGTTTCTCTCTCTCCTCGCACAAACAAGTCAGATCTGTTTCATTTTCTCCCCAAACCCGCGACCTTTCCTCTCCCAAATCTCGCCATTCACTCTCCCAAACACCCAAATCCCTCCAAATCTCCAAAACCCATCCCTTAAACACTCAAAAACCATCAAATCCTTGCCTACCCAACACAAATCCACAAGCTTTTTGCTCCAATTTTCATTGGGTTTTGTTGAGTTTTCTCTCTCATGGCTTCAAGAAGGGCTGGAAGTAAAATGAGACAAGTGGGTAGTTCTAGTGCCAGTGGTCAAGCACAAGAGGAAGGTAACATCCCACAATCAAATCTCTTTTTGGATACCCAAGCCTCTGCACAGTATGATATTATCAAGAATATGGCTGTTTTATCTTGCAATTGTGTGAAATTTAGTCAATTTCCTCAAGGAGATATGCGTGTTGAGCAAATCTTTAGGGAACTTGGATGGAAGAATTATATAGAAATTAAAGAGCCTGTGTATTATGAAGTTGTCCATCAATTTTATGCTAAT